GACAATACTTTGCCCACACCCGCAATGCGCCTTTGCCAGGGAAGGAGACCAATTCACACCTAATACAATGACCGTTTCTAGACCGGGGATAGAGGGACTGTGGTTTGAAGTATGTTCAAAATTTGAAAAGTTGTTCAAAATGAACTACTGCCTGAACTAGCCAAAAAGAGCAGGTCCAGAGGGACAAGATCAAAATGTATACTAGCCAAGAAACTAGGATCAGATATCTAAGGTGATATCAAAGATGTGCTCCTCTTTGGACTGGAAACAGTTCACACAGTGCCTGCATTGTCACAGGAGGTGTGGAGTGGAATGGTATTGTACCCATACTGTGTGAAAAGAACTAGACATTGCCAGTAAGCCTCACACAAGGTCAGATTTCTAATGTAAAGTAAGCTACCTAAAAATTGCAAAAACTATTGCCATGCATACAACAAAACAGGTGACAGTGGCTGCCAAATGAAAATACTCAGCCTGAGATAGAGCACTAAATGCAAAACGAGTACAGAGTATATTCAAGGTTTCACTGTAGATAGCAACATGGAATGAATTAGTGAAATTAGTGAGTTTGTTGTGGAATGCATAATAAGCGCTCACACCATTGAACCAAGCAACAAGGATACTTATTTTACGGAAGTGCAGGAGTCGCATTATGCAAACGTTTCTCTGAGTGGAGACTTCCTAGATGGGAAAGTCATCAAAGCATAGCAGCCATTTTGTCCGCAGATGACCATACACTACTTGGCAAGATTTTTTTACATTCTAATCAAAATCGCTAGAGCAAGGCTAATGATAAATCAGCTCAGCAAAAGTGTCCTAATGGGTTAGACAAATAGAAAATATGAATACAGAGTACTCCAAGGGTGGTCGGCAACTTGGAAGGCCATTTCCTCTTAAAATTTGTTTACCTATAGTGATATAGATTTTGCACTAATGAAGCCCATTTGTATAGTTAAGACTATGCAAATCAGTGGTAGTAACTGGCTAGTAACAATTATATGCATTTGTATTTGTAAGAACTGTAATATTAATATCTTACACAGATCATCATCGTGGCAGACAAACACTACGAGGAATGGGCAATCAACCGGGACAGGGAGGTGGAATTATTGGTAACTATCCAGATGATGAGCCTCTGCCTGGAGGTCATGGTATCCATGGCTCATCTAAACCTGGAGAAATTAAAACAAAAGAGGGAAAGACAATATGCTTGGTAAAAGGAAGTATAGCACAACAAAAGGTGAATATTAAAAAGATAACGAGAGCAGCAGTTGTCCAGGGGGCTGTTGTCTTGCTACCGTCTCGCACTGTCAAATAATTTTCAGCAAATATACCTTTTTTTACATTTAACTAAAACTGAAAATAAATTCCATACAAAACACCCAAAAAGTCTTTTCTGCAATAATTAATTCCAGCTAAAATAGTATTTTCAGTAAATTCACTACGTTTAATTACCCACCATAGACTCCGGTCAGTCAAAATTACAGTCAAGAGGTCAGTGCCATCTTGCCTTATGCTCACTCTCTGTTTTCTCTGCACCAAGTGTGCATCGCAGCAAAACAGTGCAGTTCACTCAGCAGTTTTTGAGGTACATTGTACTCCTGTGACAGTTGGTAACAGTAAGATGTGGTGTCTGGTAGGATGAACATTTTTCTTATTAGGGGCCGTGTTCTTTTTTGTATCTCACAAACAAATATCTGGTGACGCATTTGACCATTTTTGCAGGGCTTCATTGTGTCAGTTGCAACTGTTTTTTCGTCCTACTCATGTGTACCTTGTTCATTTCTTAGTGTAGCTAAAATGGCCAACTAGAAGAAAGAAAGCACTCCTAGAAGATCTCCTCACCTCCTGTGTTGTCACCCCAAAGTTCGACTTGGTCTAGGGGAATTGCCACTGGGATCTTCCGGGTTGGAACCCCTATAGTAGATTTATGTTTAAAATGTGTGCGGAGTTCGAATTTCTTTGCAATGAGGTTGTGTGTTCAAATTGGGATGCTAGAACTGGGATGAGCTCCAAGACCGCATTCATGTTGCAGAGGCTGACCGTGCTGCTTGGGTTTGGGCTTGCCTCACAGTCAGTTCTGGTGGCCCTGGGGGCATGACTGAGAGGAATTCTAGTATGGGTGGGAAGTCCCCCCATTCGTCTACCAGTACCTTGGATGCCGCATTGATGAGTGGGGGGCCCAACAGCGATAGAACCAAGGCCTGCTCAATCGTACCGGCAACAACGAGGTCGTGCCCCTGGAGCCTATTGCTCCTATGGGGCCTGTTGTGGGTCACTCACTGGTTACCGGGTTTGGCTCCAAGATTTGGCTACTGCCGAGGGCCTGTCAGGACAACTTTCGTCCCTTGCAGGTCGGGTAGACAAGCTGCAAGTGGAGCGGGTTGCCTCCACTGCAGGTGCCTTTTGGTCGGCAAATGAGAAAAGACACACTTGAAAGTGATATTCACATTCAACAGGTGCTTCCTCCCGGGATCCTCTTGATCCCCATCTGACCTCCCCATTGATTGGGAAGCAGGTGGGGTGCAGGCCAGTGGTACTGGGTCTCCGTTGAGGCCTAGTCCCCAGAAGGCTGACGGGGGCCGACGGTCAGGGCACCTCGGTCAGCCCCTCTGAGCCCATTCTCTGAAACGACTCTGTGAACTACGCTATTGGGGTGATGCGGGAAGTCATTGGTCCTGGTGACCCGATGTTCAAACCCTCACCCTTGATCCTTAGGTAGTCACGCTTGGTAGTGTTGTGGCTTCCGGGATCCCAGATGGCAGGATCCAAAGCAACACCGACTGTGTGGCCCACCTGGTCCGGCTGATTGCTGAATGTGGCGGAGGGTGCATGGAGCCAGCAGAATCCCTGGGTTCCTTCCCTCAACCCAGGTAAACGGGGATGGCCATGTTCTGTCGAGTTTCTCGGCATGTTAGTCAGAATCAGTCCACCATGCCCTGAAAGCAGAGTTGTGACCCATTAACTTTTTGTGCCAGCAC